GCAGGGAGCCCGATGTGGGACTCGATGTGGGACTCGATCCCGGGACTCCGGGATCATGACCTGAGCCGAAGGCAGTCGCTTAACCGACTGAGCCACCCAGGCGCCCTGGAACAAACATTCTGTTTCCAAACACTTGGAGATGCGTAAAGCAAAAGCGAAGGGGAGAACCTGGCCAGAAACTATGGAGTCGCCGTGCAAAGTTGTAAATGAATTGTCATGAAGCTGGGGTGCCTTGCAGCTCAGCTTCTAGCAAAACAAGAAGGTCCACAACCTTACACCTTCATTTGCCCCACGCAGTTGAAAGTTCAGATCCCTAATTAGGAGTTTTGCCTCCAGGACAGAAAGAACCCTCTGACAGACAACCCATTTTTATTTATACCTGCTGACCCACTGACACTGGAAGTTCCTCTCTGTTGTGATGTAAATCTTGGGCACTTTTGGGGGTTTGTTTTTGCCTGGCTCAGAATAGGTTTTGGGGATGGGCAGTTCTGGGGGGGGAGGGAGGGCGAGGGCGTTAGGAGGAAGAAAAAAATGGGAGCAGGGCTTTGACCTGCCAGAGAGGAGCCCCTGCTGACACGGTCAGTCTGACCCATTGAATGGCCTGAATACGGTAAATGCCGCTTTATTCTGCCTTGAAAGGCACGAGATAGCACAGTCTAAATGCTTGGGCATGCTTAAATAGGCGACTCGGGATGTTTGAGTTGAGCGTGTTTGAAATCTGAGCCCTCTGACAGCCTGGGAGCTGCCACAGGTCACCTGCCTTGCTCCGCAGGGACAGACCAGGTCTCACAAGAAATTGTCCGTAGACGAATTGTAGTACAAATTCCTTTCTTTGTTGGTTGGCCTCTTTCACTAGACCATGGCCTATAAAATTTTGTAAAAACAATTCTTAAATATTATTTGAAAGGGCAAATGGCCCCCGCTGAAAGGTTTGACAGTTTGACATATAGTGCATGGTTTTGATAGCTCGGAAACTGGAAAGTGTGGCCAGGATTCTCCCCCTGCTCGTTAGAAGCCTGGCGTTTTCGTTTTTCGTCTTGTTGCTGCTGAGTCCCTCTGCCCCTTGCGATCTGACAGGCGATGAGTCCGCTTCAGTGAGCTTCAATCCTTTTAGACTAATTCGTGAGAGAGCAGAAAAATGGCTAGCACCTTTGAATCCAGCGTCCAAAAAGAACAGAACCAGGTATTGCCAATTAAGGAGCCATTCGGATAATCATATCAAAGCAGATTGCTTCAGAGGCTCTCATAAGGCCAGAGCCAGTGCCCAGTGCGGGGTGGGGGTGGGGGTGGGGGGCAGAGTTTCACTTGAGTGAGGGGGGGAAAAGGGATTTGAGCGGCCCGGTCTCCTCAGAGCTGGGGAGTCACAAGGAAGTGGATTTCTGCATTAGAATTTTGCATTTGTGTAGGCGGTGTGTGCTCTGGCCCATCGGCTGCCTCTGCATAGCCAAAGGCCATTTTCGCGAGCCTCTGGCCCCTCAGTCACTGGCCTGCTAGTTAATTGCCACACGGACTTCGTGACACATGGGCAGATAATATGACATTTTCGGTTTCTGTCACTAGCAAACGCCACAACGTTGCTTGCACTAGTTGCTAAGAAGCTGTCAGAAACCATTAGCAATTGGCTAAAGTCGCCCTATGGCATTTCCTCATAGCATCAGCAAAACGAGCATAAATCACCCACTGGAGCCTACTGCTATCCTAATGAGGCTGTAAGCTTGTTTATGGACTAGCATCATTTTTATGATTATTTCCACCTTTTCAGTTTGCCTTCATTTGGCGGCAGGAGAAGTCAGCTCCAGGAATGAAGTCACTGCTGACATTTTACAAATGGGGTTCAGAGCTGCTGCGTGCTGCCATGTGGTCGGCCGGCGGTTCTGCAAGTTTGTTTAGTGATCTTAAAAATAAAAAAAGGAAATAAATCCTCCAGAGACCGCATCGAGGTGACTGTATCAAATTGCAGAGTGAATGGAAATGCTCAAGGTACAATTGACCATTTAGACTTTCCTCTGAGGTTGAGACGTTTCGAGATCAATTTTCAATTCTAGAAAGTGGAAGAGGTTAAACAATTTATTAAAATCTATGAAAGTGTTTGCTTTTAGAATCGTCTGTTTTATTATGCTCCTCTCCTTCCCCATCTTCTCCATTTCCCTAACTTGTGTCGGGAAGGAGCAGGGTTTATTGTTTTAGGCTTTTCTGAACATGCAGCAGTATTTACACTGGATTGAAAGCATTTGCTTCCAATGAAAATCTTGTCTTAGATTACAACCCAGCAGTGTAATTTCCCTCCCAGATGGGAGTAAAGTAGCTGTATTTGCCTAAAAACAGTAGGAAGAACAAACTGTGCATTAAGCCAAGGCTGTTTTTGGCTTGAGCTAATGATGTAATAGAAACCTTTTATTCGGGAGAGGTCACTGCCAGGGACTGAAGGGGGTGATCTGGCTCCTGCTTGAAAGGGTTCTCCATTGTGTCTACATAAGTCTTCACTTAAAAAATTCTGTTCCTAATGCTCCTGCTTTCATACAGCAGAAATAAACAGGAAAGGTTCTGGTGAGTGTTACACATGGAATGCAGAAAGCCTTCCTCTCCTAATGGAGTATATAATTCAGGTGCCCTAAGGCATGCTTTCAGGAATTCTTTTGCCTGAGGTAATGGGAAGCTAAGGCTGCTTTAAGGCCTTGATTATCTATTGATGCACAAAGCTGGAAAAAAGTCATCTCCGCTGGATTATAGTAGATATTTCCATAAATTATCAATGAATTCTCTTCGAGGCAGGCACTAGGCATTGCCTGCTAAATTAATCTGAAGGGGTTTTGAGACGGATGGAAAGGCTATTTTTTTTTTAAGGTGGAAAACAATCATGGGGAGGTGGTGAAAAACTGTCATTAGGTTAGAAGCTTTTCATTTTTAATCAGTGATCAAGTAATATGTTTCTTTTCCTTGGTTACCTTTTGCATATTGAAAGTGGATTAGCCCACTGAAATTTTAAATGCTGTTGAGTTGGTTTCTTTTCTCATGTTTCTTTAATGAATTGTTATTTTATATGGTGAATTGCTTCTCTGAATAAAAAGCCTCTTTAAATAGTGGACTTTCAAGGAATTTATTAGGCAAATCCAAGGGGACTCCTTATAAAACACTTGGTTATGCAAAGAGTTTGGTGGGGGTGGAAGGAGCACTGATTTAGGGATACGGGTGTCTGGTCCGGCAAGCCCCATCCCTGCTGCGTGACCTTGGGCCAGTCACCCAAGCACTTTCTTCACTGCTGCTACAGCGAGGGCTTTGGGACTGTGGGTCTTTACGATCTTTTCCACTGAGAGCACAGCTGTGATCCTGTGGAACTTTAACAGAATAGATGGATTTTTAAATACAATAAAATGATGGATTTTTAAATTAAGAAAAATCACACTCAGAAAAGTTCTGCAGAAGTTTTGTGTGGCATACGCTGTAATCATAGGAGAAATGTTGATATTTAGTCTGTTCCTCACGCAACAGTTTTTAAACTTTACCTCAGTACAAGTTAAGGCAATTTGGGGGCAATTTCCTTTTTTTGGGGGGGATGGGCAGGGGACTCCTGAGGGAGCTGTTAGGAACAATTGATGAATGGCAACATAATGACTATCGATTAGACTGAAATAACTGAAATCAAGGTAGTAAGTATATTTGTACCTAGTGTATTTAGGTAACAGAAAGAAGGAATATGAAATAAGTTCACGAAGCGGTGTAACTGAGTATGAGGCTAGTTCCAATGTACAGTGGCTAGGAAACTTGTCTTACCGAAGTACCCGACTCCTGGGGCATGTCCACGGCTCTCCAGTGAAGTGCATAACCCAGGGAATGTGCTCTTCGATGCATGTGTTGCCTCATGGCAAAGCCTTGCTGCTGTAACTCTTCTTCCTGGGCCGGATCCACCTGTCCCTTTCTCAAAGTCGGTACCTTCTTCGGGGGCACGTTTGACAGAAGCCAAGCTGCTTTTTAGTGTAGTGGTTTTAGTCCAGGCTTGTTTCCCCTCTGAAGTTTTGTGCCAAGCACGAGATACTTAGTTTCCATTTGTACCTTATGACTTGTTTTGGACAGTGTGGTTATATGGGCTGAAATTTCATTTTTTGTCTTATTAAACATGGCACTGTAAAAGGAATACTACGTGTTTTGTTTTATTGTGTCACAGAGCCAGAATATTTTCTAGAAGAAACAACATAAATGTTATAACACGAATCAATGGAAGACTAGGATCCAATATTCAGGAATTTGTAAACAGGTGACTTTTCAAATGAGAAAGATTTAAATCTAGAAGAAATTTTAGAAACTGCCTGGATTTTTAGGGTAATACAATCCCAATGGACTATTCGTTTAACATCGCTTTATTTGACTTACACAGTAACTGTTTCCTAATTAAAAAACTATTTCAGGAGTTTTGCCCTTAGTAAACTTGATGCTCTCTTTTTATGACAAGAAGAATTATATTCTATTTGAAGCATTCCTATGTCAAATCGCTTAGATGATGGACTACTTACATCTCCGTGGCCTACTTTAGTTTTAAGATAGATCACTTGTGGAAATAGTTGATATCTCAAGTGCGTCTTCTCACAAGTTGACATCAACGACTATACGTGGGGTTTGAATACCCAGGCAGGGACAGCACCTCTGCCCATGGCCACCACCTTATTTAACTCCCCAGTAGGAGTTACACTTACCACGTCTCAGCTCTACACATCTGAATCATTACCACGGAACAAAGAAAGCTACTGAAGAGATTGGCTATTTCCCTTTATTCCCTTTGACCTTTCCCACTGTTCTTTGGAAGAAGTTCCTTAGACCTGACTACTTTTGAGCCTAGGCCTTGTTCTTTCTCTTTGTCTTGGAAAAAAAAAAAAAAAAAAACAGTACCAAATAAACTATTAATCATTTATATTGCTCTTTTGGTTTTGTGTATATCCAAAGGCATTCTATTTGAATAAAGCATGTCAAGGTAGCATCAGTCAAAATTTGATTCACTATGTTTGCAGGTGATGGCTTGGACAACAGTGTAGCTTCCCCCAGCACAGGTGACGATGATGATCCAGATAAGGACAAAAAGCGTCACAAAAAGCGTGGCATCTTTCCCAAAGTAGCCACGAATATCATGAGGGCGTGGCTGTTCCAGCATCTAACAGTAAGTGGATTCTAAATGACATATGTAAACTAAATATGGACGGTGAACCAGTTGTGAGAGAAAAAAAAAATGGGGGAGAAGTGATCCCCTCTGCACTTGGAATATTTCATAAGTCACTGTGTTCCCCTAGTTTTTACAAAAGTGTTAGCACTTAATTTCCTAGATACTTACCCCAAATGAGGAGTTTTATTTGAAGTTCACTATTGCAATTTTGTTAACTGTAAGTTATAAGGTTTAGGAGTTCATGTGACTTGTGATTTTAAGTATGTATGTTAATGATGTTGCTTTTCTCAGTGTGACTCTGAGGTACTTAGAACCAACTCCTACTAAGAAGAAAGTCAGCCAAACCCCAGAGAGAAGGACTTAATTTCTTCTAACGCTTCAGTGGACCTTTGTAGCGAACGGTCCAAAAAAGTTTAAATCTTGTTGCAATGGCAAGATGCTCACATAATTTGCCTTTAAGTGGTTTGAATGGCCTGGTTGCCATTCCAAAACATTCATCTGAGTCAGGGCTGCACAGTGAAAGTTGTCCCTGTACTTAGAACTGTAAAGGAAAACAGCAATATAGAGTCGGCTCTTCCTGTGTAGTCCCTTGTGACTTTTCAAGCAGAGTAACAGTTTATATTGTCTGTGTGAGTATTGCTGTTTTCACTGCAGGAATTCTCCTGGAGATGTGAGAAACTGGAGATTGGGGGCTTTATGCCACCAAGGGATTTGTTTTGTTTGGTTATTGTTCTGAATGAATTTCATGTTCAAAATATTTATAATCATAATATTTTGGTGGATATTTTTGTAAGTGCATACTGATTTAATGACATCCAGGGAAGAAGACCAAATGAAAATTTATGGATAAAATAATACTTTAAAAATCAGCAAAATTGTTGGCAAGGGGGACTTTCACTATTAGGGGCAAAGGTTGAATTTAGATAGGTCATAGCCTCGCCTCGCCTCGCCTAGCCTAGCCTAGCCTAAAATGAATGAATGCTAAATATCTTGGCTTTTTGAAAAATGTCAGAAGCAGACTCTTTATGTTACCATTTTTAGCCTAGTTTGCTTTTTTTGAAAGTCATTTATTTGTACGTATCAAGGTTAATTTTGCGTTGTCCCCGATGTACCCAGGTCTGTTGACCCTCATGCCTTTGCCCACTTTCAGAGCTATGTTCCTCAGTGATTTGTACTGTTACAGGGAGACACACAGGGGCTGTCGAAGGCCACGCTGGGTCTGCTTCTCTGGATAGAGGCTGTGCCTCCAGTAACACTCGAGGGTATAAATTAATCCAGGTTTTCCAGCATCTGTGAATAAAATAAAAACTGAGAGCAGCAGGAGCACTTAAAAAAACACACACACAAAAAGTTTCCTCTCTCTCTTCCAGCCATCGTGATTCCACACAGCCACTAACCTCCACTGACAGTTCTGGAATCAGCTTCGGAGGTTGGCTAATGCTGGTTAATAGTTGAAGCTTGAGATGGCGTAGCTGATTTTAACACCACATAAGGTTTACCTAAAACCCAATTCGGGTGCCATTACTTACTGACACTTGTTACATAGATGTGGATAGTTTGAGATCTGCCTCGTGCAAGGTGTAAGTTTGCTGCTGAGATTACCAACCTCGACTGAAGGGGTGGGGGGAAGGAAGGGCGAGGGTCCGGAGGGCATGGCGGGCACAGGAGGAAGAATAAATAGCAGGAGATAAGAAGAGACAGTCGGTCAGAGGTGCTGATGCAGCCGTGCTGATATTTCGTCACTGGGGCTGACCAGCCAACCTGATCTGGAGGATGAGGGAGGGAGGGGACAAAATCAGGTGGCCCCGGAAGTTACAACCCGAGTCTATTTCCTGTACTAACAGGAAAAAAAAAAAAAAAAAATGAATGGATTTCGTCAGCCTGCATCTCAGTCTACAGAGGAGCTTTGGCTTTCCTTGAAGCTGAGATGCCCCTGAATAAAATATAATCAAATATTGGTTCAGACAGAATCAGGAGAGAGAGAAGCAAGTTCTTTTATTCATCCACCAGGTTTCCTGGTTTTCTAGGTCATACCCTTGGGAAGAACCTTGCAGAGAGCTATATTATCTTCTTAAAACAAAACAGAAAACTTCTTTAGCAGCCAGCAGGATCTTACCTGCATTGCGGTGCTTTTTGTGGTCCATATGTTATTGGGACAATTGGATTAGAAATTATTCCTAAACTGCCTGATTTCTTGAGGTTGGGCTAATTTCTTTCAGTTTGGGGGTCTGTCCTGGCCTGACCACCACCCTGGAAGGGGAAACCCATTCGTCTACATCTCTATGAAGGCTCACAGAAATTGCCTTGTGGTTCACATTGGGCATGCCCACCTGCTTCCCCACTCCACTCCCATGTGCTCATACAAAAATATCGATAATGGTGACCATCTCGAAAAAGCAAATGTCTCATAATGTCATCTAAAAAACAAAGGAGATATATTTAAATGTTCTCCCTCTTTCCCACCCCCAATGAAAGCCATTCCCTTCCCTCTTCTCAATTGCAAGACCAGCTAGATCTCCAGTTATCAGGAACACCCTTCCCCTTGTCTTGCTATACTTCTTGAAGGAATGCACAAACTGTTTAGGTAATTGTTTATAGTCAGGAGCTGATAATAATAAATTCTACGGGAAAAATCCCGTAGAGTTTAAGGAAAGTTTTGTTATCTGTTCAAATGTAAGTAAGCAGTGATAGCTCTGTACTACTCTTTTAGCAACTTTATTTCAAGTTCTGTGAGTTCTTCAGGATGCGCAATTCATTTGGAAGTTGCTACAGATTTTAAATGATCACATTCTTGCTATATGATTAATGTAACTTCTCTAGAAAATCCTGTCTGAAATCTTGCAAGATACAAAAGAGCGACTGAAACTCTGGCTAATTAAAACAATAGCAATAACAGTTTATTAGCAAATTGTAAAAACTAATCTTTTAAATGCCAAATGGCATATTATGAAAGCTCACATACCTTTTTGAAAGCAAATTCCTACTCTTTTTTTCTCTTTCAAATAAATGGGTCAATCTTTACATTGGATTTATTCAGTTAAAATAGCAACAACAACAAAAACCTGCCTTTGAAAGGGCTTTCAAGCATTTACGTGTTGGAGGAATAGAACAGGCCCTGGAAAACAAAACAAAACAAAACAAAACATTCTGGATTCGCACCCCAGCTGCATCAGAAAAATGTGCTGTTCTGTAGCTGCCCATAGGTAGATTTAATCAGTAGCACATTTTACTACTCCAAGGAGAGAACTAATGCATCATTCTTGGACTCACAGTCTCTAGTGAGCTAAACTGGAAATACTTGTATATGATGAAAATAATAAAAGAAAAAGGAAACAGATTTTAAACTTTGGTGATTATGGGGTAAAAGGAAATTTCAGTGATGAAAATTTCCACCTCAGTCTTAGTTGAACATTTGCCAGGGTTTGATAACTAGAGAAGGTCTCTTAAAAGAAACTATTCCCTGGAATTGAAAAGAATGACTGACATTATTTAGATAGTAAGTGAGAATTAGAAAGAAAACAAAAGCATTTATTAATAGAAATGCTTGCATTTGCCTGAAGATAAATTACTGCAAACAGCTACAAACTCCTTAACATTTGAGTATGAGTCACTGTATAGGCAGGCAGTTCGGGGGCCTACACTCCATGAAGGTTTCTTTTTCCTTCTTAAAGGCGTTATTCCAACTATAACTATAACCTACTGTGGCCTGATGTTTAAACTGGATGTGTTTTGCTTATTGCCAGTTCTTTTGCTACATAGTGTTACAAAGCTATATGCCTAAGGGCCTAGTGAAAATGAGAAGAAGGGATAAATACAATGTTTAAGGTAAAAATCAAGGGGTTTCTGTTTTGTTTGGTTTTCCTACCCTATTGCACATTTACCCTATTGCATATTGCAGGTTTAAATATAATCTAAATAGAAAAGCGGTTAATATGGTTCTTCTTTAGAATATGCAGTGACATATTTTCCTGCCTGGAGCTGCTGTGTGTCCCAGGAGTCTTGAAAGTTAGGAAGAATGCAGGCTGTTAAAATACACACCTGTGGGTTCAGGTGAAGAAACCATGCAAGGGGCGACATATCTGGCATTGACCAGCAGGGGAGGTGACCCTCAAGGTGAATTGATTTTCATTCACATTCTCTTGGATTCCTTTCACTGATCTTTGGGGTCTCATTGGGTACTTAATAGAGACACTTTGTTTCTATGTCAGATACACATATTTTACTCTTTGGTTTTGTTTTGTTTGTTTCTTATTGTGAACTTCTAGCCTGGAAAATGTTTTGGGTTTTTTTTGTTTTTTTTTTGTCTGTGGCAAAATTTATGTCTCAATTTCTGATTTATAAGACTTCCCTCTCAATGTGGATAAAGCCAAAGTGAGGGGTTGTAGAATCTTCCAGGTTGAGAATTGCGTTTCCATAGAGACACTATTAGATGAAAAGTGCCCTGCGGGTCTGCCACTCTAAGGATGGCGTAAATGGAATTGAATTGGGAATTGAATGCTCTAGAGGAGACAGATGTTGTTTCATTGGTTTTGCTTTCGGTAACAAGATCTTTTGGCGACATCTTAGTGTCATATCTCTGCTTGCAGTTTTGGAAGGATTGTTCTCTAAACATTAGGAATTACTATTACACTGAAAAAGTACCTCTCATTGGTATCCAGACAACCCGTTCTGTTGATCAAGGTGAGTGAAAGGTCAAAAGGCAGAAGAAGGACCTGTAGGCAGGCCTTAGGTAGGTAGCAGATGGGATATGCTCCCCTCCTTCCATTTCTGTTTCTCTGTCCCTCACCTCTAAACTTTGATAGCTTTAATGGTAATATTTCCATTGTGCCTAGCCAGCCAGCATGATTCAGCTAAAATTAGTCCTAAGACGATAGTGGGGCAGGAAGACGGTATTCTCAAACTCTTGCCTGGAATGGGAATCAGGGTAGGGCAAAGTATTTGAGAAAGACAGTCCCTCCTCCAAACTAGTCCTAACTTATCTTCACGTTCATGTGCCT